GGGGGGGGGATGGCAGAGGAAAAGGGGAAATGGTCATTGTCCTGAGATGACCAAGGCTTTCATGGTATGATACAAAACTGGGAGGGAATGGCTAATACCTTGGAAGATAGAAGCAATATTCAAAGGGACCTAGATAAACTGGGATGAAACCCCACCTGGAATAATCCTGCGTCCAGTTCTTGGCACCACAATTCAAAAGGGATAAAATGCAAAATTTTATTTATACAAACAATAAACACACAGGAATAGGACGGGGGAGTCTTGGCTCAAGAGTCCTACCTGCGTGTGAAAAGGAGCTTGGGATTCTTGTCGATCATAAGTTGGACATGAGCCAGCAGTGTGATGCTGCAGCAAAGAGGGCCAATGCTCTCTGAGCCAGCTTTAATAAAATACATTTTCCAAGTCAAAGGAAGTAATAGCACAACTATATTCTGCACTGGTCAAGCTCAATGTGGGGTCCTGTGTTCAATACAGGGCACCTCATTTTAAGAAGGAGAGAGACAAGTTTGGAGAAAGGCAACAAGGATGGTAAGAGGGATGGAGAACAAAGCCTAAGAGGAAAGGTTGGGGACTTGGGCATGATGAAGCCTGGTGAAGAGAAAGTGGAGAGCGGAGATGGTTGCACTCTTTAAATACCCCAGAGCCCTGCCTGGAAATGTCCCTGGGACTTGAACCCAGGACCTCCTGTCATGCAGGAACTTGGAGGCCTCTATCCAGCTCCCCAGATTTTGAGGCAGGATTCTCTCCTAACCCTACTTGAACACTCCTGTTCTTATTTTATTTTATTTTATTTTATTTACTGAATTTGCATCCCAAATTTAAAAATAATATTACTTTTAAAAACAGGACTGAAAACAATTTAATGCATCTTTTAAATGCAATTTCCAATAAAAGATCAAGAATACAGTGCACCACGGTACAGTCGTCCCTCTGCGTTTGCAGCTTTGACTTTCTCAGATTTGAGTCATATGTCCTCTCTAGGAATCTCTAGGTCCTCCGGCGCAACTCTGCCGGAAATTGACCATAGACTTGTGCCAGAGGACTTGGAGATTCCTAGAGAAAACACTTCTCTGGGCATCTGTAGGTCCTCCAGGATGGATTCTATGGTCAACTTC